TCCACAACTAGACTGAAGAACAAAAGGACAGCAACTTGTCTGTTCCCCTTCCCCCAACTCCCCAGAGCTGTTCCCATCCCCTCAATTCCCCAATAAAATATCTTAAAAAAAAAAAAAGTCATAACATATAGTCCAAAGGGTTGTCATGAGGTTTAAATGTAAGCATTTATATTCAAGGGCTTGGTAAACCTGCAAGAGCTATACACACACAATGTTGTTATTGTTATTTCTACTCCTATATTTGTTCTGGATGTTATCACCAACCAAACTTTAATTATATTAATATTGGGAATATGAAATTCAGTGTTTTCTCCATGAATTCTTTTGGAGGAAAAAGGTGTGACTGAAGTCTAAATAAATAAAAACACCACCTCGGAGCTTGAGATAATGGCCCCAATTTGTAAGCCTGCGTGTTTACTTGAGTTCAGACTTTCCCAACATGTAAATTATGCAGAGTCTGTGTCACAGCAGAGCACTCTCTGTTCCTAAAAAGAATTCTCTTTTTTCCCCAAGTCCTTTACCTTTTAAAATAAATCTCATTATGGAGTGCTGACATTTTCAGCAAAAGCATTCAACCAAAAGCTGTGTTTTTTTAGACTAAAAACAAGTCTGGTTTATTAGGCAGCAGCTTATAACTTGCTGCTAAGTAGATGCAATCCATTTAGAGAAATGTATGTAGATCTCTGATAAGACATTTCAGAGTCCCCTTCTCTTTCTGACTAAGACTGAGAGTGTTAAACAGATCATCAAGAATTCCCTCTGTCTCTCCCTGGAATAGGGGTTGAGTTATCACAGTGCTTTTGGGGTAGATAGAAACCTTAGAAACAAGATTTAAACTAGGTCTCTCAGAATTACCACTAACTCTACCAGCATACTCCAGCTGAGTGACTTTAGATGTGACTTTCTTCAAAGGGTTGTGGAGAGATGTAATACTTACATAATGGCCGGCATAGATGTGGTAGGACCTCCCCATCAATGATCTCATCCTTCTTCCTTCTTCTGCTTCTCCTTCTTTTTTTCTTCTCCATTTTTCTCCCCTTTTTGTCTCCTATTCCTCCTCCCATTGATTTAACTCCTAACTTTGTCTTGTTTATCTGTGTTAAGATTATTCTGAGGAATGACATATATTTTGGTTACCCAAAATTACTTAGTGACTTAGGCTCCTGCCAGCGACAATAACGGCGAGTTTATAAAACACTGATTGAGAATCAGTTCATCCTCTCTCCAGACTTATGAGATGAGTACGAGTATTGTCTCCATTTTATAGATAAGGGACTTGAGCCAAAGACAGGTTAAATGTCTGATGTTACAGAGTTAGTAAGTGATAGCGCTGGAAGTTTCCACCCCCACCCTCAACCAGCCCAAAGGCCTCCAAAATGATTATCATTGGCATTCATTTATTAACTCTACAGATATTTATCTAGTGTAGGCTATTTTATAGGAATTGCACAGAGTGAGTAGCCTAACAGACATAGTCGGCCCTCATGAAACACACCATACACACACACAAACACATACACAGACACACGATACTTAGCTCATATTTGGCTGGCATTGCTCTACCCTCTATACTTTGGTGTTTATTCTGATCTGTCAGTGTCCATGTGGCACGTGTTACTAACATTTTACATATAATCCTGCCTTATAAACAGCGATAAATACTATAAAGGGAAAAGGATCAGGATGCTTTGAGAAAGTGTAATAGGTGGTGGGGTTTATATAGAAATGTAAGAAATTCTCTTTGGATGAAGCATTTGGACCATGAATTGGACAATGGGTTTTCTCAGCATGCTGTGAGATAATGCTGGGCAGAGGCCAGACCATACAAGGACCCGTAATCTAGTTAGGTAACTTGGATTTGATCCTCAGATCAAAAAGAAGCTATTTAATAGGGAACAAGGGGTGATATCATTCCTTTTGTATTTTAAGAATACCACTGTGGTCACTGTTAATGGATGGGAATGGGGTGCCCATACTATCTTTGCATTAGATTGATTCTGTGTAGTTGGGATTCAGATACGAATCAGACATAAATCATCTTTCCAGTCTCTTAGGGAAGACAAAACATGTACTAAGACAATTCTAATAAAAGTCATGAAATGGTATATCCTAAAGGCTATAGTAAACAGGCAGCAAAAGTTCTGCAGGTAAGAGGAATTATAAACCATGCTCCCTTTCTTTTAACCAGAAGCCATCATTTTGATTCTTTCTTATTGCCTCTGTTGGAGAGATTTTTAACTCTCATAATTTTCCATTGCATGCCCAGAAATGCTCTCAGGTCTGAAGAAAATAAATTCAGTAAACATTTATCTAGTGTCTAGTTTGCCCTTGGCTCATCAGAATACCACTTCACTTATTTCACTCTGTTTCTACCACAAGGGCATGATAGGATGAGCTTGAAATAGAGGTGGATGGATGAAATAGATGGGGATCAGTGGACCTATGTTCAAGTATCCATTTTATCTTCAGCTAGCAATATGGCCTTTGGAGATGAGCACAAACTAGTCCATAGTGAGTAAATTTTGTGGTGCAGATCGTTCTAGAATAAAGAAGACCTTCGGAGGAAGATGTGCTCCCTGAAGGCTTCCTAGCGAACTGGGAAGATATGGAGAAGCACGAGTCAGTTAACTGCTAACATGATGTAAACTTGCTATTCCCCCAGTGGATCTGTCGGTAGTCATCTTTGAGCTCGGTGGCCATAATACATTTCCCTGGGATCTTCCACCTTCCCTCCTACCATGGAGCCAGACCGAGAGAGAGGAGGAGGTATTTCTCAGCCCCATTTTCTTCTGAGTGATCAAACCTCACTATCTTCTGTGTTAGTAGAGATGTTTCAGTGAATACCATTGTCTTGACCTTGGGAAGATTATGCCATCAACTTTTCTTCTCTATGATGATTCTTACAGGATAGACCACTGGAACAATGAGAAGGAGAGGATTTTGCTGGTCACAGACAAGACTCTCATGATCTGCAAATATGACTTCATCATGCTCAGCTGTGTGCAGTTGCAGCACATCCCCTTGACTGCTGTCTATCGTATCAGCCTGGGCAAGTTTGCCTTCCCCGGGATGTCACTGGACAAGTAAGGATGATGCCTTAGACTTGGGAAAGTGGTGCTGTGGGGGCGGGGCATTCAAGGACAACAATGACAATGTTCAGTTGAGTGCTGCAATCTGGGAGAACCCAGAGGAGAAAAGGGAAGCAGTTCCAGTTGAATTCATTAAGCAATCATTGAGTTCTACTCCATGCCATACTCCAGCGATAACATTTTAAGTAAATTTGTACTTTAATATGAGGACCTGACCAACAAATGATTAAACATAAGGTAGGATCATGGCAGAAAGGTTCTCAATCAATTTTTGTGGCAGAGAATTTGCAAGGCTTTCCTGTTGAAGCACTCGAGTCCATATTTGATGCTGGATAGGAGTTAGCCAAAGAAGGAGTGCAAAAGTTTAAGAACATTCCAAGCAGAAGGAACAGCATAGTCAAAGGCATGGAGGTGGGAAAAAGTGTAATGCTTCTGGGAATTAAAATTACTCTATAAAGTTCAATGGGCAGGATCCATGATGGCTAATAGCTCTTCTTAAAAGAAGTCTTCTTAGGGTCTTCCCTGGAAACTTAGTGAAGGGGACATCAACCTTCTTAGAGATGTTGACATTTACCCCTCCTGATGAGGTCTACAGAGGAGGGTTGCTGAACTACATTCTTGTTATGGTCTCAGAGAGAGATGCTTAGATGCTTAGATCTACTATTTTAGATCTAAGCCATGAAGACAGCAATCTTCATCAGGCCTGAATGTGAGCTCTTCCCTTTGAATCCTTTGAAGATAGGTACCTTTTTCTTCTTCTCCTCCCCTTTTTCTTCTTTCCTGTAAGCACTTGGCATTCGCATTGGGCCTGGCACATAGTAAAAACTGAAAAATCTTTGTAAAATATTGAAAAAAGCAGAGCTCCATCAAGTGATTGGTTTTCCTTAATAAAGCATACCATATTAGAAACCTTTTTTTTTTTAATTTACTCTTTTCAAAGACACAAGAAGTGATCAATTGATTAAGTTCACTAACTTTATGAGCTAGTGAGGTTTTCCAATAATGTATGCACATCATAAACACATATAAACATCATGGAAAATGTTTGTTTTCAGGAAGTATTTCTTTGACTTGATTTTCAGTTCTCCAGAGTTATCTCCATAGGCAATAGTCAGCAGTTTTATGTGTGTGGTTTTTGAAAGAAATAGTCTATAAATACATACAGAATAAAAATGTCTTTGTATGTATATATGTGTTTGTGCACACTTGTAAATACACACACACACACACACACACACACACACACACACACACACATTATCACAGATTATTTTACCCACTGGGTACACATGTCATGAACTATCCTGCTTCAAGTTATTTTACTCAGTTATATACCTTGAAGACTTTATTACGTAATCATATATAGATTAACCTCAGTCTCTATTTTTCTAAAGATTTTTATTAAAAATATAGCTAATATACAATATTATGTTTCAGAGGTACACCATAGTTATTCAACATTTATATACCTAAAGTAGTTATCACTATGATAAGTCCAGCAAACATCTGACACCATACCATGCTATCACAATATTATTGACTATATTCCCTATGTTGTACATCACATCCCCGTGACTTATTTGTTTTATACCTGGAAATTTGGACCTCTTATTTCCCTTCTCATTCTCACCCTTTTAACTTTATCAATTATAGTTGACATTCAGTATTATTTTATATTAATTTCAGGTGTACAGCATAGTGGTTAAACATTTATATAATTTAAGAAGTGATCCCCCTGACTAATCTATTAGCCACCTAGTACTAGACATTGTTGTTACTATATTATTGACTATATTCTCTATGCTTTACTTTCCATCCCCATGGCTATTTTGTAACTACCAATTAGTACTTTTTAATTCCTTCACCTTTTTCACCCAGCTCCTGAACCTCTCTCAGATATCACTCCAATAAGTCTAGTACCCATCTGACACCATACATAGATATTACAATATTATTGACTATATTCCTTATGCTATACCCTACATCCCCATGTAACAACCAATTTATACTTCTTAATCCCTTGCCCTTTTTTCACCTACATCCCCAACCCCCCTCCCATTTGGCAACCCTCAAAATGTTCTCTGTAGCTACGAGTTTGTTTCTGTTTTGTTTGTTAATTTGTTCTTAGATTCCACACATAAGGAAAATCACATTGCATCCATCTGACATATTCCACTCAGCACAACACCCTCTAGGTCCATCCATGCCACCAAGATGGCAAGAACTCTTTCTCTTCAATGGCCAGGAAATATTCCATTGCATGAAGGTATGACAATTGAGTTGGCAAACTTATCACAACAATGTTGCTAAACTTTTTTTTATATCAGAGGGGTTATTATTAATTTGTACCAACTGGACAAGCAGTTAACCAAGTTTACTATTTGGAAGTGCAAAAAGTCTGTGTGAAAAAGTTAGATGAAAATGACCTGAACTTTTTGCCAACAATTCATGGCTCTTGCATCACGACAATACACCA